AGTCTTTACAGTATTTACAGTTACTAAATTAAATCAGGTGCTGCTGCTGAAATTCAACAAATCCATGTGATGGCTGAAATGAAACCAATGTTCTTCTAACTGTATTCCACTAACTAATCTACAAAAGCTAAAAAAAAAAACCCCAAAACGCACCTACTTTCAGGATCTTACGTATATCGCTGCTGTTGGAACAAAACCTCGCATCTCCGTTTTTGATGTTTTTCAGTTTTTGACATAATTTGAAAATACCTGTTGCCTTTTATACTGTATGTAAATTTCATGAAGGGTGGACCAAAAGAAATGACCCTAAATCACTTGGAAAAAAGTCTATATATATATATATATATATATATATATAAAATATTATATGTACATATATATGTATATATAATACAATATGCAAATATACAAGTGTGTGTATATAGATAGATAGATATAGATATATATAGATATAGATACATACACACACACAATCTTTTAATAACCTTTGCACAGGCTACATTTTGTTTTATTTCCTTCAGTATGTTAAATTCAACAAATAAATAATGATAAATAATGAATGTGCAGAAGTTCTCTGTAGAGGAAATTTTAACTTATTTTCACTTACAAAAATCAACAAAATGTCATTTGATCAGGGGCGACCAAACTTTTTCACACCACTGTCTATATACATACATTACTGTGCAAAAGTCTTTGACACCTGGGCACATTATTTGAAACCCATCAGGGCAATAACCTTGTTTTTGCTGGCAAAATCACCATTATCGTTATTATAGATGCCAAAAAAAGAATGAACAGTGAAAAGTAAGAAAAAACAGTGGTTGCTGTTTTTCAGGCTAGTTTAAAGAATAATGTTTGATTCCAGATTTCTCTTTGATACTTCCAGCCATTGCATAGATTTATTAAAAACCTCCACTTGATTAACATAATGAAGTATTGATTTATTAAACCGTTTTGGAAGACAACTACAAATAATACCGGGCTGACAGGAAGAGTTTAGGAATGGTTAAATATACATTGACGTATATAAAATTGTACAATACAATTTACTGTACAAATGTAATTGTATTGTATAAATATAATTAGTATTTATTGTAAAATGTGTTTTTTTATGAGCAAATAAAAGCTTGCTCCATTTATTTAACTAAGATTTTTCATTTTAACCCCAAAGTCTCAAAATGCATTACACAGGAAGATCAGCAAAACATGGGGAAGCTTAAACATCACAGTTTAAATGAAAAAATCTGCTGAATGAAATAACAGTGCAGATACAGTTACCACAGCTTGCGGGCCAGTTTTTCGTACTACAACAACAAAGGATTTTGAATAAAAACAGCGCCCCCACTGAAACGTACTGCATATCCGTTTACTGTGCTGTGTGTTAGTAAACTCTGCGCTAATCCTGGGGTGGCTGTGGCGCTGTTGTGGCTGTAATCTGTTTCCAGGAAATCAACCCTGTGTGTAATAGCTACTGCTGACCACGACGGTTTAAATATCCGATAGCCGAGGTTCACGTTAACCCGTCGTTGCTTTTGAAACGTTGATACATTTGCACAAAGTAATTTGCGGAATTTATGACCATGTTGTAAATATTTTAAGCAAAGGCTGTAGGTGTAGACTGACATAATGTATATATGTGTAGGACTGCGCTCGGTTGCCCACAGCCAGCCCCTTTGGCACCCGTGTGGAGCACCATCCTTCTTCGTCAGTCTTTTTGGCCGTATGAAGGTCCTGTCCGCTAGCCCCCTGTTTCCCCGCGCTGCTCCCACGTGCTGCCCTGTAAACGGCCCGTCAGGCCAGGCTTGATGTGGTGAGGGAGCGGCAGTTAGGCGCATAAACAGGACAGAGCAGTATCCGCTTCGAGCAAACCCTGGGCAGGAACTGGTCTCTCTAGATCACAGAATGGCACCGGCTCCGAGTGATCTCCTGATTACAGCTCGGGATAATAAGCAAAGACAGACGACCGTTTGACTTCTGGCCAGGATAAATGATGATGCCTACTAACACACATCCAAAAATGTTTATTGGTGTGCAGTGGTCCTACTTCCTGCAAAAAAAAATGGATTGGTGTTTGAGGTGGAGGGCTGAGGAAGTTGTTTGGTGAGTGAATGATTGTGTATAAAGGTTATACAGGAGAAAAGCCTCGCCTTATCGTTCACTCACAAAACTTTTTAAGTCTGAACTCTGTTCACTGACATTTAAAGGAGTAGTTCATTCAAAAAAGAAATCCCCTCACCCCAAACGTAGACGTGTTTGGCGTGTCAAGTCAAGTTTGCTTCTTTAGCCTGAAGCTACGAGGCTAAAAAACAAGTAACTTGCCGCAAATGGTGTCAAATTATTAAGTAATCCCAAACAGACACGTTTGTGTGCTTTCTGACACAGCAGTAGTATCTGTAAAAATGGACAACAGACTTAATTCAGTCTTCAAGATGGCTGCTGCTACTGTTTTTAGCTATGCAGTGTTCTTAGGCTTTAATAAATATGTAGAGTTCAGCGCTAATCAGTGCACGAGCTTCCTTTATTTATTTATTTTGCTTCATGAGCCTCATAGCTCCAGTGCAAAACTAAAGGAGAAAACTTGTCTTGACTCATTGCTTAAATTTGGGGGAAATTGCGTACATTTTGCAAATTATTTCTGTAAGGGGGTTCCGGAGTGATGGTGTTGGGAGATTGCAAGTTCGATCCCCAGTGATGCACAACCATCCATGGCTTGGAGTCCATGAGAGCACAGCTGACTGGGAGAAATGATCCTCCCACTCCCCCCCATCATTCAGCATGGTGATGGTGCCAGTGTTGGCATCTGTTTGCTGACAACAAAGTTAGCAGTTAGTGTTCTCCTCCAAGTGCATTGAGCTAACACCTGACAACTGACACCTTTCTGTCCCCAGTGTCCTCTTTTTTGGAAACCAAAATATGGTCATTTTATGTAACATGGAAACACGTCTAGGGGAAAATTTGCTCCTTTGCTGCTGGATTGTGGTGAAATCCACTATGAACAAGGCCCAGAAGGTCCTCAAGCCTTCTTGACATCTGGGGTATAAGCAGTAACAGAAGCAAAACAAAGCTAGGTTGCAAAATACTACTGTTAACTAGCTGAGCTGTTTTCTCTTGCAAGAGGTGAAGCTTTCTCTGCACACATGACTCATATCTACAAGTTTTTTGTGGCACTTTTCGTTTATACTAACTTGCGTTACATTTTTGTGCTTTTGTCAGGCTTGTTGTCTGTCAGACAGTTTTGACAAGCGCACCGTCGCCCCCTACTTTGCGCTCGTTGGACTGGTTTAGAAATTTTACACTTAGTTTGTTCCCGTTCTTAGTCTACGTTCCTGCCCACATGTAGCCGACAATTTCTCATGGTCGTCCCCAGATGTTTATGAGATCACATCTGGCTGCCTAGCTAGCGGCTGGAATTGGCCATGACTCAGTTCAGGAGAAAATTTGTTTAGAAAAATCTTTAAGATGCCACTGAGAGCCATTCAGCGTCCTCAGTCCCAGTCTTGGCTAATCTGACTGAAAGGGCCACAGACTGGCACAGCGTACAGTAAGTGTGCGAGTGTGCGGGTACAGTACGCTGTGAGCGGTAGCATGAATAAATCTGTGCTCTGAGTGCGTGTGTGGGTTTGCACTGTATTTCCCAGCGCTTTCATTGGCGGCCCACTCCTCTTGGAGTCTTGTAATGTGATTAAAGGCTATTAATCATCAAAGCGTCTCTCGCGGGACCCCTGACTCACGGGCCGGGGGAAGAGCAGGGGCGGGACGTGTCAGAAAAGCTTTCAGCCGACACTCGCTCTCTCCCTCTCACACCAAACGCAGCTGAAGAGACAGGGTCACTACCACCCAAGAGCGAGGAGCACTCTCTTTAATACCATATCACCATCACCATTCGTATCACTACGGCCCAACTGATACGCTGACTGGCTGATAAAATCAGCCGATATCAAGGATCTACAGGTTGATTTGATATCAGTGATTTCTTTACTAATATTTTTATCGGCAGTGTCTTAGATTATAATGTAGCTTTCTGTTCATTAGTTTGTTCTATTGGTTCTGACCGTATTAAATAATCAACCAGTTTTATTGAATAACAAAAGTTTTAGCTCCTTAAAATCAGTATTGTGACAGTTTTCTTATTGTTCAGGCATCATGCAGAGAAAATACCAAACTGTGATAAATGAATTTAGTGATATGTCTGGCAGTATAGAAAACAGAGTGGTAAATGGACGATTTGGTCACAGAATGACCTGCATTATTTGAAGTTAGTGAGGTCACTATCAGAGCAGGACGCTGAGAGGTCAGCTGCTCTGAAAGTTCAGGATTTATAGTTTCTCTGCTCTGTGCAGATCTGAGTTGTGAGTTCAGAAGCTCTGGTGTTTCTGCCGTGTTCCACATGCTGATGTGAAGATCTTCAATGTAACTTCTCTCCTCATTTCTCTCTCTCTCCCCTTTTCTCTGCTATTCTCTCTCTCTCTCTCTCTCTCTCTCTCTCTAATATATATATATATATATATATATATATATATATATATATATATATATATATATATATATTAATATTATACACCCTCATCTCTTTTTTCTCTCTTCTTTCTTTTTCCTCTTCTCTAATTTCTCACATTGTCTTTTTTACTTTCCTTTGTTCTTTTTTTTTCTAATTTCTTATTTTTCTCTCTCTCTTTATCTCCATTTGTTTTTTCTTTTTCTCTTTCTCTTTCGTTCGTTTTTCTCTTCCTTTCTCCAATTATCCTTACTTGCTTTCTTTCTTTTTCTTTTTTATTCTCCCACTTTTTCCTTGGCCTGTTTTTAATCTATCTCTTTTGTTTCTGTCTCTCACTCTCTCACTGTTCTCCTAATGGCTTTCTTTCTTTTTCTTTTTTTTTCACTCTTGTCTCTTTTTAACATCTTTCTTTCTCTGTTTCACTCTCTCACTCTTCCTGATTGTGTTTTTTTTTCTCTCTCTCTCTCTCTCTCTCTCTCTCTCTCTCTCTCTCTCTCTCTCTCAGGTCGTGTACTTCACAGAGATGCACAAGATCTTCAGCGAGTTGACTGATCAGATTGATCAGGGTGGTCTGACGGACGAAGAGAGAGAACAGCAGAACGAGACGAAGCTAAACGAGTTGCGTGCTCTGTCCATCGTAGCTGACGACTGAGAAAAGTGAATGTTCAGCCTGTTTGTTCTTTTTCTTATACCTTTTCCCAAACGCGTTGTTTGTTGATAGTCAGATGATCGTTAGTCTCAGTCATCCGATGAACTGTGAACGATTACCAGTTGAATAGATGTAGAATTTAACTTATTTATTCTGTTACTTCTACTTTCGTTGATAAGGTGACTAATGAATTTACTTTAGATCTTTCATTGTTATAGTCTATCAGACTTTCTGATCAGACATAGATTACAGTTATATTTAAAGTCTACTAACAAGGAATCAGACAAATATACCATGTAATAAGAATCTGGGTTGAGGAACAAACTTCCCCTTTTTATGTAACTAAAATATTTGTTTGGAAAATGAAAGAAGAAGAATGTCTTAAAGTAGAGCATCACTGGAATTGTGCGTATACTTTATTCTCGGCAGATGATTTCAGACTGTGTTGAAGTGGTTCAGTGTACATTAACGGCACTGGTTCATTCCACGAAAAGCAACTCTGCATTTACATCCCCATCACAATAAAGGTCACATCAAATATATTCAAATGATCAGCACACAACTTTATTTGATATAGACGTAAAGTGTTCAGTGAACGTTTATTCACTTTAGATTCTCCAGCTGTCTCAAAGTTCACTAAACTGAAGTGTCTGAAGTTGTAGTTCATGAACGTACTTGAAAAATCAGTTGATCAGTACTGTAGCGCCCTCTTCTGTCAGAAACAAAACATCCGTTCTTTCAGCCTTTACAGAAACTGACTTTTTGTGTTCCTAGTAGATGTTCTTTGTGTGTGGTGCTTTTAAACATTATAGCCTTTAAAAATATTCATTTTGCTGCATTTACCAGTTTCTACAGCCATAACAGTTTTGGATTATGTTCAGGACCAATCAAGCAAGCAAGTGCATCTTCATTTTCATTTTGTTTGGAAGTGTAACTAGGAATAATCCAAAGTGTAATGAAGTAATGACAATCGTCAAACGTTGATTTTTGTGCACTGTAGCGTCAGTCATTTATGGTGGTTTGATAATGTTTGGGTTTGAAATGGTGTTAAAATATGTGCCTTTAGTGTTTGGTTTCGTTCTGTCTCAGGACTTGGCTTCAGGCTAAATGAATGTTCTGATGTTCCTGATTTGCAAACCTGCCTGTAAAGCAGAATTCCATCAATGTTTCTAATGTATGGATAGTTTTGTTGAGGGGTTCAGAGTGGTTTAATGTGCAGTATAGAGAAACTTCCCAGCTCAGGTTTCTTTAGTGGCGCTGGTCGTAACAAGAGGTCACAATATCTATCAAACAGATCCATTTTATTTACTGTCCAAAATAACCAGTGAACCTACACACGCCCTGAGTTTTATATGTAATGTTGATGAAGCTGAAAAAATACTTTTCTTTGGGGCCCGTCTGTCCTTACAGCTCCATGTACCTCTCTACTGTGACTGGATATTAAAAACACTATCAGTGTCCTCTCAAAGTATCAGAGAGGATATTCATACTCACCTCTCTGTGAGGGAGTTTAGAGGCATTAAACTCTTCAGATGTCTGGTTCCCATCACCATCACTGTGAACAGTTCTGACTCAGCTGATGTGAAATGCTTCATACAAACTTTGAAACATTGGTGGAATTCCACTTAGTCTCACTCATACATCCTTTGCTAAGACCTTGAGTACAACAGCCTTCTGCTTCTTTTCTGTTTTGTGTTGATTGTAATCCCAGTTTGCAAGTCCTTTGAAACGTGTAACATTTGTATTGGTCATTTTATATCTGTCCTGTAAAGTCCTTAAATAAATTGGTTGCTAAAATACCTGAAACATACTTTTTTTAACCAGCTTACCAAAGACCTAGAAGCAGCTTCTCACCCACATATTTCCCAAAGGAAATGAAATAGTCTAAGCTAATCATCTTTAAGAATTGTGAATACCACCATTTTTGCCTAATACAACACATATTCCACATTAAAATGCACAGATGTTGTATTATCTTTATTCATCACTACCTTGACTGCAATTTGTGTAACAGTTCATAAGCTGCAGGTTTACTCTTCATTATGTACAGCTTAAAATGTGCACATTTACAGTTCATGTTTATAATACACGCTGCATAAATTACACACAAGACAAACTCACTTTGTAGTACCTTTTGATGAAACGAGAAATGGACAGTTTTGTTCAAAAACACACTTTGCATGGATTTTAAAAATGAAAACATCTGCAATATGATCAGAAAATATTAGCGAAAGCTACCTAATGTTGACTGACTGTGCCTCCTGGAAACATCCAATCCCAGAACTTGTCACTTGTACGGTAGTGTAACAGTGCGGTGAACAGAGTTGAATGCAGCAGCATTATAACTGCCTGAACGACCTTAGTGCAAATAATGGTGGCTGAACAGAAAAGCGAAGCAGGATAAAGTTCAAAATGATGTTTCACCAACTGGGATGGCCTGGCAGCCTGTCCAGGGTGTTTTTTTGCCTTCTGTCCAGTGAGCGCTGGGGCTCTAACGCCCCCACGACCCAGGAGAACAAGCGGCTTGGAAGATGAATGGAAAAACTGAAAAAACTGACAAAACCTCCAAAATGGTAACTTTACAGGAGAAGGAAAAAACCTACTTTTAATGTAAATCAATAGAACTAGAATTTGTTCATGCAATTTTGGGATGTTTCTTTTGGTCCATTCATCATGAAATTTACACACAATATAAAGGGCAACAGGCACTTTTAAATTATGTCAAGAACTGAAAAATGACATGAAATGGAGATACAAAGTTTTCTAACAGCAGCACAATGTTTCACAACCAGGTCAACCTGTTGAAGTTCTTACTGTTTTGCTATACTGTTAAATTGTAAATATGTAACTGCATAAGGAATTACAGGCACATAGCATTAAAAAAAAACATGGCAAAATGTTTTTTCCTCCCAGAAAAAGACTGTACACAGCAAAAACTATCAAATTCAAACCATAATAAAATATCAACAAGCTGCGAGTGAGAAATCATTCATATAAAACCACGGCTTGCTTTTGTTATCTCTGGTGAACAGATTAATTCTTTGAAGTCTACAGTTATTACAGTCATTTTGCTGTACTGTTCAGTTGTAATTATGTAATAACAAAATTACACAGTCACAAAATTTAAATTCAGGCTCAATTTACACAGAAAATCATTTTCTATTTGTTTCAGTTTCAAGAAAAATGGTAAAAAATATAAAGGATGTTTTTTCCACCTGCAAAACAAAACTGCACACAATTTTTCATCAAATTCATATCACAAAAATATCTCAGCTTCTACTTACAAATTTGGGATCAACTGAAAGTTTAAAATCTGCATTTTTGACAGAATTTCTCGTTTCAATGAGCTCTGAGTGAGAAATAACTGACCAACTCATAACATGCTTTTGTTATAGTTGACAGTAACTGTCTTCTAGGGGTTAAAGGTTAGCATGTTTTCCAGGTGCAGCTCCACATTTTAGGGAACATTTGCTTGAGTTTTATCCGTCAACCAACCAGTTTGCTTCCTTGTTTTTGCATTGGTTATATACACAACCAGCTAAGAATGGATGTTGTTGAATGTGAAAATAGTTTAACAGCAGCAGCTCACTGACCACGTGTGTCCCCAGAGGTCTTTGTTCAACAGCTTATGAGCCATAATTTGATTTCATAGTGTATTTCCAGTTCAGCAGGAAGTCGACTGTTAGCTTAGCTATAAAGGTTAATAGTGAAGTCCTGTACCGGCTCTTTAGGCCGCTTTGCTGTACATCTGTGCAATCTGTTCACTGAAGACTCTGCGCAGGTCCACTCGTCTGCTCTTCAGGGTGGGGGTGAGGAGACCGTTACTCACACTGAACATCTCAGGGTGCAGATACAAGTCCCTCACCTGAAACAAACACAGAAGATGGTGAGAGTTTGGCCACCTGCTGCACTGTCCAGGAGCCTCTTTCTGCAGACCCCTTAGTGGCCATTCTGCTGGAATGTGGTGGAATGGAAATCGACTTTCTAAAAATTAATATCTAATAAAGTTTTTTTTTTTATATCATGGGATTAATATAACCTGAGATTATTTCTGTGGTTAATGTTACAGCATGGTGTTAATATAACCTGAGATTATTTCTGTGGTTAATGTTATATCATGGGATTAATATAACCTGAGATTATTTCTATGGTTAATGTTATATCATGGGATTAATATAACCTGAGATTATTTCTATGGTTAATGTTATATCATGGGATTAATATAACCTGAGATTATTTCTATGGTTAATGTTATATCATGGGATTAATATAACCTGAGATTATTTCTATGGTTAATATTATAGCGTGGGATTAATAGAACCTGAGATTATTTCTATGGTTAATATTATAGTGTGGGATTAATGTAACCTGAGATTATTGCTATGGCTAATTATATAACATGGGATTAATAGAACCTGAGATTATTTCTATGGTTTGTTATATAAAAGGTAAAAGGTGCCAAAATTTTTAGAGATGCATGAGTTAGCAGTCTGTAAAAACACCGACACAGTGGATTCAGATGGGATTAAAATCACAAAGGAATAGTAATTACATTATTCCACCTCCACATGTAAAACTAATCCTGTGAAAACTGAGTTTAAGAAATCTGGTAATTGAGAATTTCATATTCCCACCATATTTGATAACTGACAGTCATATCAGTCAGTAAAATTGTTGTGGCCCCTTTCACTTCTGACTAAACTGTACTGGCTGATATTATGTAGAGGTATTTTTAGCTCTTTCCTCTCAGGGCTCTGTTCTTTACAGAACCTTTGTAGAACTTTAACCCAGCCCTTTAAACTAAGGCACTTCTCATCTACATTCAACTGTTTAAACTTAACATCTCAGGATGCAGACTGAAGCAGAGTGGGTTCAAGATAATAACTGCATATAATTAAGGCATTATATGTACAATTTTGTATATTCACTTATCACAGTGAATTTTAGAATTTAATAATATGATCCACCAATATCTGTTCTTGCAGTGTATTTACCAAATTAATGACTACATATAGTAATACATGGAAACTGCTGTAAACGGGATTATGTAACCGTAAGGCTTCAATCTTTAGACTGTCTCCAACGGAGATAAACTCAAACTGCAGTAACGTCTCTGAAATGTAAATTCTGTGGGTCCACACTTCAGTTCCTCATTCGTACAACTACATAACTAACACTGTTTGCATGTTTTACCTGCTCAAATGACTTCAGTCCTGCCTCTTTCCCCACTGCTGTCATGTCCTCAAGCACTGCTTTCTTCACGTCCTGCAGGTTAAGCAGAGAAACACAACAATGTCAGAGTCATAAAACCTCATATCTCAGAAATGCTAACTTTCTCTAATTTAATATGTTAATACATTAATATTTTATTCCAAATCATTTTGGGCCATTTCTGTTGGTCCAACACAATGTGTGGTAAAAAAAAGGTTCAATAACGATGCTAATAAAACTCACGGGATTCTGACAGAGCTCCTCATAAGATCCCACAATTCCTCTCCCTTTGGCCCAGCCAACGAACACTTCTGGGTCTGGGACCACAATTCCTATCAGATAAGACTGAAAACAGACAAGAAGACTTTGGTGAATGAAAAAGCTTTTAAAGAAGCGACTGCATGTTTGACAGAATGATTCTAACACCTGCTGTTAATGTGTGTCCATCTATGAACTGACCTGAAGACTGTCTCCGTGCACAAACACCTGCAGCACAGGTACACAGCGCATGTAAACGTTCTCGATCTTCTCGGGAGCGATGTATTCTCCCTGGGACAGTTTAAAGATGTGCTTTTTCCTGTCTATGATTTGCAGAGTCCCGTTCTAACAGAGCAGACAACAATCATATCGTTATGAGCAGATAAAACTGATTATAAACATAATTAGTAATACAAAGTATTAGATAACAGTACTACAATGTCAAAAGTTTGGGGACACTCAGACGCACCACTCAAGCACAAAATGTCTGATCAGCCCGATCTCATATTACATGCTAAGCTGGCCATAAATTTTGGAGCAATACAGTCAGTGGATTGAGAAAAGTTAATGAAGTTTACAGCAGCGCGTCCTTAAAGGTTTTTCTTTTAAAATTTTCTTTGATGCATTCAGTGGCTTTAAGTGAGATGTTTCTCATTGGTCTGTCTTTGTTGTAGCCCTGTTTTTAAAACTACCTGCCATTAAATCCTTAACAGTCTGTGGTGGGTTACTTTGCTTGTCAGTCAAATGGTCCCTTTCCTGCTGTAGCAGGTGGTTTGTTCCTTCATTAAGGAGCCTCTCTGATGATAGAAGTTTGGCTTGTGAAACTAGAAAGACACCTTACTTTGTTTTTTACATTTGAATACATTTGAATACAAAGCTGAAACAACTATGTACAAATGCTTTGAGTCTTCTTTGTTTTGCAGAGCAGAAAATCTACATAATGAAACCTGGATAAAACGGACAAAAAACAAGCTCATTTGTAGTAAAAACATTTTGAAAAGTTTCCCCCAAACCTTTAACAGACTCTGTTTCTGAACCGTGTGTTCTTCACTCACCGGCAGCCACTGTCCCACATCTCCAGTGTGCAGCCAGCCTTCACCGTCCAGAGCTTCCGCCGTCCTCTCCTGATCATGCAGGTAACCCCGAAACACACTGGGTCCCTGAACACAGATCTGATACACACAGACACACAAACACAGATGTTATAAATGACATTAGTATATTTGTCTGTTAAACTAAGCTTCACTGTAGATCTCCTTCCTGTGATTTTCACTAAGATGACAAAGCGAGTCTTTACCTCTCCTTGTCCATTTTTGGCGTAGTAGTTCATGTCTGGAATGTCAGTCAGTTTCACCCTGGCGCAGGGAAGAGGAGCTCCAACATGGCCTGAAACACACAATTGAACACACTGCATCAGCCTCAAACACAGTTACAGTTATCATTGTTGATAAAAGCAGGTTTTCATTTTAGAGGAATTATTTCTGACACAGCTCAGTGAAAACAGTGGAGAAATTCTGTAGAAAGTACAGATTCTAAACACTCCATTGACACCACATTTGTGTTTATAACACAAACATGTGTTTTTTTTTAAGAGGAGACTTTTATTATGATATCGGTTGTTTTCTGACACTGGAAACAAATGAAAAAAAAGACGGAAGTGAAGAGTCAAACCTGTCAATACAGAATGTGCATTGAAAGTAATTGGTTTCATTTGTTCGTTACCTTCTAATTAATTATGTAATTACATTAAATTCTATAGCAAAAATCACAGTAATAACAATACTAACTATTCAACCAGCCTGAGGAGAGAATCTCTCTTCTAAGAATATCATCATTCATAGAAAATAATCAAAATGTCAAAATACTAGTCAGAAAAAAAAACACAATTACATATTTTCCCCAAATTGTTCAGCCCTAATCATATATACAGGTTTTGGTGGGGGTTGGTGTTACCTGCAGTCCAGTCTCCAGGCATAGAGAAGGTACAGCCAGCTGTGCACTCAGTTTGACCATAGCCCTCAAAAATCTGCAAATGCATACAAACAGCAGCACATTGGTTAAGCCTGTTAACCCCAGTATACCAGCATAGTGAACACTGCACAGCCTGTTCTAGTCTAGTCCATTGCAGACATATATATTATGGACGTACACGGATACTCGAGTGCTCAGTTAACCATTCAGGTGCCAATATTCAAATACCAAAAATCACTATTTGGGTATTTATCAGGTTTCATTACAGGAAGAGATAGTGCAGCTTTATCGCTAACTAGCCTAAATAAGTTACTCTAGCTCACCTGCGTCAGGCTCCCATCCTTGCAGGCCAAAACACTACAGACTTCAGCACTCTGCCTCATTAAAACACACCTGATTCAGCTCATCAGCTAATTAGCAAGGCCTTGAACTGAATTCAGAGTGTTAGATGAGGGTGAACCATAATCTCTGCAGCACTTTGGCCCAGAAGGTCCCCAGTTTGACATGCCTGCTCTAGCTAATGTTAGTTTGTTCCAGAAACAATGAAAAGATATTTTTCTAACAAACTAATTCGGCACATTGTTCACTGAGGATAAAACACCTCATGTAGAAGAATGGGTCTCCATCAGGTTCCAAAGTTGTACCTGTAGTTTAGCTTATTAGCTCATCTGAAGCAGCCTTCGTTACTCATTCAACACTAAAATCTCCAGACTTCCCACAGCTATTTTTGAATAATATATAAAATAAACAGGTGCAACACCAGTGATGTCAGCTAAAAATTAAGCCTACAGACCTACATTGATCTCGGCCAAAGCTGTACTTTGTCCGTTCATTAACTCTCACTCTACCAGAATTTCTGAATTAGTTGGAAATCTCTAATATACACCCACACTTACACTGTAGGGATGCATAATGTATTGTTGGTTAATCATTATCACGATGTTAACTTATGAAACACTGATGTAACAGAAGGCTACAATATGCTATTGTATACAATTGTTTTTTTAACAATCACACAGTTCCAGTTCTGCAGTATTAATGCACCCCAAAAAAGATTTTTTTTTGTTTAAAACAGTGCAGGTCATGCCACATTAGTGCTTAACCAATGCATTTTAATATACTGCAAAGGTCATCACAATCAAAATGTGTAGTGATTTAACCACAGTCCTAGTTTTTTGTCTATGTGCAGCCCTAAAACACAGGAGGAAGATCTTTTCTCACCAGGCAGCCCAGCGTGGCTCTGAGGAAGGAGAGGACAGTGGGGGAGATCGGAGCGGATGCAGTCAGGATGAACCGCAGATTCCCCCCAAGACTGGCCTACAGTGAGGGGGAGAGAGAGAGAAGTAAAAGTATTTCATCTAATTACTTGGTCTCATGTACAGAGATGAAGGTTATCATATAACACAAAATTAAATCGTCAGTAAATCAATATTTGTCATTATGAGATTTAGCGAGAGAGAGAGAGAGAGAGAGAGAGAGAGAGAGAGAGAGAGAGAGAGACCTGTATCTTGTTGAAGACGAGTCTGTCCCACACACTGTTGTTTCTGACTATTCCGCTGCTCAGCTCAGCCTGTTTCCTCCTCACAGCGTAGTGCAGGACGGCCCTCCGCAACGGAGACGTCACTGAGCCCAGGACCTACACACAGAGGAGACTTACTCAAACTTATTCAGCATCACAGTGCATATTAAATTATACATGTGTAATTACAAATAATTGGATTAATAGTTTTTGATAGTATTTTTTGTGGCACTACTTTGTTTTAACTGATCAGATGTCAGAAAAAATAAATATCATGACTTATTGTGCAACATGAAAACGTCTTTTGCCATATTTTCCAGCTCTATAATCTAATATCACAGGAGTCAATACAAGACATGACAACGTTTTTCTTATAATCCTGTTCCTTACACCATAAAGTCTGTCCTTGTACTGAGAGCAGTGCTGGGAGTAACACATTACCAAGTAACACGTTATTGTAGTCACATTACATTTGTCTGTAACACAGTGATGTAACATGTTACTGTTCCTAAATCCAGTAATCACAGTTGCTAATAGTGCACGCCTGCGCAAAAATCAACAGACTTCTCGTCATGTGACTTTGGCCAGAGTTTGTGCAGGAGACAGGACAAAAATGCCAGAGCAGTCTACAACTTTTTGAGGGTTAGAGAGACGGACATTACTTCAAATCTGTTGTGCGGAAGGACAAGAATGTGACAGTAACGTACAAACTGTGCCCAGGCCAGAAACTACTATCCACTGCTGTGAACACAACATCAGATCTCTCCAAGCACCTGCACAGGCAACATGCTAACACAAAACTAGTACCGAAAGACCCCCGGACCCTGAGTGATGCTCAAGCTATGCGAATGCTGACCCCAACCAAGCAGCCAAAGCTTGATGTTCAACGGGTAACAAAAGCAGAGATTATCAGGCGTTTTCTGAGAAGCTAACTTGCTGTTGGCTTCGTGGTGCTTCACCAAAGAGCATAAAAAGAAAGATCTTGTGTATGTCCTGCTTATTAGGATGGGGATTTGTGCTGAGGCTGAGGTCAGCTTCCTATCCACCAGCTTCTTGTTCAAATATTCCCGTTTCACCTTAAATGGTGCAGCAAGTTATCATAACGCCTCTGGCACCAGAACGTAACTGCTGCATCATTTAAAGATGGAATGGGAAAAATCGAACACGAAGCTGGTGAACAGAAAGCTGGCTTCAACTTTGTGGCATATATAAGGTTTAACATTATATTATTATTGTTAACTATACAGCTATTGTTAACTGGCAGTAGACGATCAGACGATGTCGTGGAGAAATGCAAAAGTAATGTAACGAGTAGTGTAACGAATTATTTTCCACAGACAGTAAATAAGTAATGCATTTTTTAAGTAATGAATGTTTGCTACATAACTTTAAAATAACGACCCAACACTGACTGAGATTCTGTAGTTATTCTGAGAGTAATGACTGATACAGACCTTGTCATAGATGCGGTTGAGTAAGCGTGGCACCACAGGGAAGAAGGTGGGCTTCAGGGTCTTGATGTCATCCATTAAAAGAGAGATGTCTCCCTGGTAGAAGCCCACTCTCGCTCCGTGGAAGAACAGTGTCACCTAAAACAGAGAGAAAGAAGAACTTATAGGAATAATTCTGCCTATAAAACTCTTTTTAAGATGGCTGCTAATATTTTTCAGTAATATATTTTGTCCTAGAATTTTCAGTAGCATATTTTTATAGATAACAATGTCACACAAAGTCAGAGACCATAAACAAGCTTGTGTGAGATTACTTAACATCTCAACAGCGTATGAGGCAAGCATGTGATACACGCTACACAGGGCTAACGGTCGTACAATAAGCTTTTATTACATGCTAGCTACACTAGCCTCATAACTCCAGCACAAAACTGAAGAAGCACACTTCACACACCATACCCGTCCTTGCTGACTGCTTCTGAGGTAAGAGGAAAATTAAGCTAATTTGATTTTTTGCTGAATTATTGCTTTCAGACAGCAGGAGGTAGAGGATCAGGATGATGAGTCACTGTTATGTTGGGGGAAATTAATCAGAAGTGGGTTTAATGACTCTCGTAGTTTTATGACCTGTTGAGCTGGAATATTATAAGCTTTGTATTGTGTTCCAATGATAAATTCAAAGCTTTTAACTTTGTGGACAGACGTTTACACCTATGAGTCAGTGTTTGCCTCTTGCAGCTACTGCCTTAAAAGTTTTTCATGTATCCTTCTGAAGTGTACAACTGCAAAAAAATAAAAATAAAAACCTATTTTTATATTACATTTAATATGATTTTATTTGCTGTGATTTATACGTTTCAAGTCTAATTGTACTACAACTTCTACTTTAGAACTGCCTGCATGTAACTGTAAGCTCCACTACTTTTACGTCCCTCTGACCTCTCTAATGTTTCCAAAGCAAACTCTGGCAATGGTTTTGCTTTCACCTTCCAACAAAGGATCCTCCTGAGATTCAAACTGATTGACCACACATAGCTTGGCTTGGCTCAGGCGAATGTTCAAGAAGCTTTTTTACAGGGATACTTATTTCAGTGCAGGAAAGTATTTTAAATCCTGACTAAAGCACATTAAAATTGCAAATATAATATTTACTAGGACTAGAATATCACTGACACGGACTTGAACACTTGACTACAGCTTCAAAACACATTCAATTTACACTGACTAACACACTATAAAAGGGATAATACAATAATGGAATAATGGCTTAATTTAGTCCAAGAAGGTTCACTCACACCACCTCTATTCAGTAGAATGGCAGTAATACACCACCACACAATGAGAGACCCTGGCTTTTGAACTTTATGCTGGTAACAATCAGGATGGTCCTTGTCCATTATTGACTCACACCACAATACACATTTACGCTGTTCATTCAGTTCATATCAGATAAGCTCAAGCGCAGAGAAGTAGGCAGCGTCTCTGGCTATATGGCTTCTTCCTCTTACCTCAAAATGCATTGCACAGTTTTAACTTACATTTGTGGATCCAGTCAAAAACATATTTACTGCTAGTGTTTATCAAAGTATTCCCAAGCCCATGTGGTAATATCCATCACTAAAAACAGCCGGCTTTTAATGCAGCGTCATTTGAGGGATCGACGTCAGTAGTGTTTTTTTGGCCTTGCCCTTTACGCACAGAGATTTACTCAGGTTCCCTGCATCTTTTGATGTAACTATGCACTGTAAAGGGTGAAATACCAATGTACTTGCAATTGCGTGTTGAGGAACGTCGTTCTTACACTGCTGGACTATTTGCTGAAGCTTTCCTTGGTGAAGTGGTGAGCCTCGACCACTCTTGCTCATAGAAGACTAAGCCTTTCCTGGATGCTCATTTTATACCCAAGCATGATTGCATCACCTGTTTAAGATCTTTTTACAATGTTCCTAGTCTTAAATTACCCCTGCCCAACTTTTTTGAAAGTTTAAGGGTAAAACCTTACTTGTGTTTGTACTGTTCTTGATAAATAGAGGTCAAAGTAGATTTACAAATCACTGCTTTGTGTTTTTATTTGCATTTCATATACTGTCCAAACTTTGAGGTTTGCAAGATGAGTACCTAAAAGTAGTCAATCATAGTCAAGACACTCCACTGGGAGAAATACACCACTAACAGCGCGAGTGCTATTTTGGGCTAGATTTGTTATAGGATTTGATTTATTCACTCTCTCACCCTACATTTTCTGCTGATGTCGGCCCAGTATCATCACCTGGCACCATAGGCTATTTCGGAAGAGTTTGCCTTAGTTGGACTTGACAAGTTGACTTGTTCTAAAGAACAGGTTTAAACAATGGTGAAGAGGACTTGGATTTACACTTCGAATACCAGTGACTCAGTAATGAGTCAGACTTTGACACTTAAGACTCCGCACAAGCTGACTTGACTACAGCCAGACAGACACAGAGAACAGCTATAAATGGACAGGTCCAACTCACCTGAATCATGCGTTCAAACATATGAGCCAGGGGCAGGTACGAGATTGACACGTCGTCTTGGCGCATCACAAAAAAGCCCTGCAATTACAAAGGCAATCCACATTAACCAAAGTAAATTGGCACAGAACATCCACCTTACAGAGAAAATGGGACATTAGACTTAAATGGGCAATTGAATCAACAATTGGGCGCTTACAGGGGCAATTAAATACACTATTTGTCTTTTTCACTGCCAATCTGAGAAGGAGTTTTGAACTTATTGGGCGATAGAAGATGCAATTTACCAATTTTACCTACACAATCCACGTGGGGATAGAGCGAGAGAGTGGGCTATGGAGTGAGAAGTGAGGTAACACGTCCCAAGGGTAATAGACAGACACCGATAAAAAGAGAAAAGGGGGAGAGAAAAGAGTCTGAAGTTGAGGTGGCAGAGGTAGAGGGAAATAAAAGACAGAAAGATGAAGTCAGGATGGAGATCAAATTTGCAAAATATCCCTCTCGCTCTCGTTCAGTCTCTATGTCGTATAACCAGCGGGCGCCTTTATGAACTGTAGTGTTTTCTGCAGTTGAGCTCTAAAGTCACAGATAAAACTCTTAGTGTTTGTTAGCTAGTGGCTAGCTAATGCATGGCAGTAATGTAGGAATAACATGAGCACATCAGAGCACATTATTCGAATTCCTGAAATAATGAGAATGACAGGAACACCAACAGCCAGGTTCCAGTCCAACAGTTCTCACATCCATCATATGATTTTATCCTCTTATCCTTTAATCCTCTCATAACTTAATTATGTGTATTTTATTTATTTATATGACTGAATGAATGATTTTGTTCCAGTAGTGAAATTTTAGCTCCTTTTGAGCAAAACTCAAAAACACCAGCTGACACAGCTTTGAACAGCTGTACAGTGTAAAATCATATTTTTCATTAAAACACAAAAATGTTACAGTAGTGACAATTCTTAAATGTTACACACTGATTTACAGACTTTAGGACACATTTACTTCAAAACAATGGCATCTAACTGCTCTCCATGTGGCCATGAGGGACAGAGATGCAGTCTCAGTTCTTGCTCTTAAATGCAGGGGTGTGGCTAAAATAAGGCTCCGCCTATGTGCTAAAACTCTGTGTTATGGTAGTGACATGAAAGTGTGGGACAGCATTTTTCAATAAAGTTTTTATATTTAAACATTAAACTCATGATAAATATAAATCTTTCCACCTTCAAAAGAAATAAAATATCTTTTAAAAAAAAAATGAAAAAATACACAAGGTCGTTTTATCGCGAGTTGGTTCCATTTTCTGCTTCTCACAAGTTAAATAACCTCAAACACATTCAGTGATGTTGAGGTCTGGACTCTGGGGTGGTCAGTCTATTTGTCTATTTCCCTTTTTCAGTAAGAGCTTCTTGATAGCCGCACATCCTTTCAGACCCACAGCGCCAAATTTTCTTCTCACAGTGGAAGGACGGACAGAAACACCTGTGGATTTTAGGTCTGAAGCAGCTTGATTTTCTCCTCTCTCTCAGAGACCAAAGCTTCAAGTACTGTTTATCTACTTGTTATCTGAAGTCCTATTCAATAACTTCAATAATTCTTTCAAAAATTTTTTAATATTTTACTTAACAGCCATTTTGGCTAGAAAACAGTACTGTACTTAGTTGGACACTGCACACACCCAATCGTTACACATTTCAGGTAGGGCGAAAATTGTGTTCAAGGAAATATTCCTTCAAAGCAAGAGTGTCTGAGGAGGGATGAAAGCCTATAAGGGTCGTGTTATATTGTCTGAGGAAGAAGAATGTGAGAGAGAGACTGACCTCTAGGATCTTAATCACGGAGGATGCATTGGAAGCGATGTTGCCGTGGGTGATCATGGCTCCTTTTGGCTTTCCTGAATGAACACAAAATGAAAGAGTTATTACAGGAAGAAAGCATTCTGACCTCGCAATGTCATCCCACCTCAATACAACCACTAATAATGTAGTGCATGCAAACCCTGGAAGTACATTATGAATCACTGTGTGTGGTAACAGCTGATGTTTAAAGCTACACTTTGTAAGTTTTGGGGATTTGGAGACCTCTGGTGGACACGTGTAATTGTACACAACATGCAGAACATTTTGTGTCACTGGTTGTACTTTGGACCCTTTCCCTGAGCGGATGAATCTGAAGATTGCGAGCCACTGAAAGAGAACTCAGTCAAAACTGAAGGATGTGTCTTCTGAGGATGTGAGTGAATGATCTACTATTGTCATTATATCATCAGTGTAGTGTTGATTTTGTATTTGAGACCTGAACATCGAGCTGGACCTTCTTATTGAGCCTGTGTGTGTGATGTAAATATATGAAGACGTATGATGTGGTCTGAAAATTTCCCACCATAGGTGACCTGATGCTTCAGACTTTTAAATGATTTATTTCAGGCATTACAGGACGACTCATAGCAGAGCAGGCACACCATACTATAGTGTGTTTTTTTCTCTTTACTCAATAACGCTTCTTGTATTAATTTTAACACAAAAACTTACATAATGCAACTTTGTCTACACTAGTCAGGTCAAAGGTCATTCTAACCCACAAAATCTGGTTAATAGAAATAAATCAGTCAGAATATAGTTAGTCAGTATATATACAGAATATAGAAGTCAGTTTATTTGAAGGGTACCTACATAGGAACTTCAAAAGCAACATTTGAGCATTTAAGAACAACTTACGTCAGTATTTGCAAGAAGGTTGATGTAGTAAATGACACTGTATTAACATGAAGCCCCTAAACTAAATTGACTTCCATTTAAAGGAAGTTATGAAGCACCATTTCCTACTAGCGGCACTTACAAGGCAGAGGCCATTAAGAACACCATATATACATCCTTTACAGAGAACTCACTTAAATATGGTATTTTTCTGTTAATTTTACTGCAAAATTTCCATTTGTTGGCTGAGTTTAACATATTGGGAAAATTATCATTTGCATAAAATTACACAAAGTTTTTGGCACAGGTTTTATTTCACCTCCCAATATCTTAAATTCAGCAAATAAACAGTAATTGTGCATTAAAATGTGTAGAAGTGTGTTTTCTATAGAAGATGTGCTACAAAGTCAACAAAACATAATTTGAAAAACTTTTACATACTTTTACAACTAAGTTCAGTGAACTTAAACTTGTCCTTAAACTACAATAATAATTACACTTTCCGTTTCTGAACATCATAAAACTTTCCATGTCATCTTGCGAATACTGAAACAAGCTATTCAGAAATAGTCAAGCATTGCTCTTTAAATGTTATTCAGCGCTTGAAGCCACTATTTACGCAGCCTTCCAATAAAGTGCTACCAAACATAGTGAATCTGTCCCAGCAGGACGTGTTCAGATATGAATTCCATCTGGAGGTTAAGTATATTTTGGAATATGAAGTGTACCGTACCTGTTGTCCCACTGGTGAAACAAACCACTGCCAGGTCCTGAGGCTGAGGAGGCTACAAATGCAAATACACAAACACTGTTTTAAATGCTAATTCATCTGCTAAAGCATTTAACTCTGAGACAACATAGATTAAAACAGTGTTTAAAACAGTCATGTGCCCATTCTCACTGGTGTAGGAAATATCAACAATGCATCCAGCATATCAGGGATGGAAGATGTGGATATTTCCAAAGTTTTCAGGTCTATCACGATTATTCGATAATCACTGGACTGCAATTATTTGAGCTGACTGGATGCAGCTTTCACAGGTGTTAAATTGCAACAAAATGTGTTTTATATGTGGAGTTGAGGTAAATGTATGTCAATAAAATAGAGCAGAAAATGCATTATTAAGACACATCATGGGTCTTACAAAGACGACAAAAAGTTCTAACATGTGACTGGTGCTATAACATTTAATGGTCAGCAGAGAATAATGTTTGTTTATTTGAGCTCTTTATTGTTTATTTGAGCAGCTTTTCAGTCAATTTGACCACTTTAGGCTTGTACTTTAAATTGATAAAATAAATAATTGAATACAAAAAAACGAGTATAATAATTTACATGCCAAATATTCAGTGGCTAAAATGTCATGATCATAATGGGCAAAACTTCATAGATTAAAATGTCCTAAGAAGGATGTTACTGTAGCTTTAAAGCACACTTCTACAATCATCTACAATCCTAAAACCAAATCTAGACCAGGTTTCAGACAGAGAATTCTGTCAAATGTTTTATCGTCTGAAAGGAAAGAAAAAACATTTGGAACAGAAATAAAGAAATTTGCAAAGTTTAGGATTATGGACTTACGAATATAAACAAAAATCAACTGGCAGCTTCACAGAAGACATTTCAGAGGGCACTTACCACTGGAGCCTGGAGATTTTCTCTGCCCAGATCCTGCAAGAAAACAAACACAATTGTACTATGATTATAACACTGTAAATGAACTATTAGTATTAAATAAATGAAGGCTTTGTATTAAAACTGTGGGCTTTTTTCACTTTTCTCATTCACATAAACAGCGTCAATTTTGCAGCATTCACATTCATTCAACCAGTGCATAAAACTCAACACCCTCTTCCCTTCATTCGCTACAACCAATGACCACAGACTTCCTGTAACATCAAGCGCAGTGTGATACATGTGCATGTGAGAGACCTGTATTTACATCCAAACACCATTTCTGTTTATTTAGTGCTCATAATGCTGTCTGGATCCAAAGTCCTTTCATCATAGTGACTGAAGCATGAACACATTGTACACAACCATTTAAATTCTCTGACCATGATCTGTGAAAGCTGCAGAACCTCCACGCCACAGTTCTTCCCTCGCTCCACCAGAGCCGCACTGACAGGGTTAAAGAGCACCAGGCAGGACAGGGCAGGGGTCACTCCCTTCTCCTTATTCCCCAACAGAGACGCCGCCTTCTCCTCCTTATCACAGATCACCAGAGAGATTTCAGCTGGACACAGAATGTGAATTAAGTGAGTTAAGTAAACTCAAGTTGTGACGGGTGCAGACGTACCGTGTTCACATGTTAGACGGAGGCCAGCACTGTCACATTTACATTAACATGCACAGTCTCTGATAAACACATTACTATCTAACTATATCAGTTAATAAATATGTTGGGCCCAACTAAAATATCATGAAGTCGACTGATATTAAACCTCCAGGGTCTGAGGGCATTTTCTTGATTTTTGCATTCTTAAATGCGCCTTAAAAGGCACTTGTATACGACGTAATACCCACATGTTATATATCAAAATGTTGAGAACAATCTCAGCTCTCTATAATGAGGCCCTTTGACCTAAAGCACTGGGTAAAGAGATAATTCGGCCCTAAAGCTGAAAAAGTTTGGTTTCAGAAATGAAAACATAGCTTTACTCATGTGGACAAATAGTTTTGGTGCTTGTAATGGATCTACTGAAGCCTTAGGCTCACAAAAGTAGTGGAATATATGGTAAAATAGCTCATAGCTACTTCCCAAACCCACTGCAGCAACTTCAGCGTCTGGAAACTTTTTACACACCATTTCACGTCTGAGTCGACTGAATGAAAAATGAAAGGTTTCCGACGTGATGGGTCAGGCCTTAGTGATTGTGAGTGTCCACTGGTCAATTTCACCCAAAATATAGACAGGCACACAAATCCACTAAGTACAGGTGGGAGGCAGATGATGGACATGCAAATCCACCACTGACCAACAGTGAGAGGCAGACGACGTGAGTCTCAACTTGTCTTAAATGGCTCGTAACTCCCGATGTGAGTCACATACGATCTCAGGGTAAGATGTAACCGAAAGGGCGACTCGGCAGATTCAGGAACGGTTTGAATCGTATTTCTGCACTTTATTATCACAAAGATATTAACAGAAATGCCAGGAAACATCTAATTTGACATGCAGGTGCGTTCATCGACCCCAGAAGGTTAAGATTTCACAGATTTATCTTGGGATGTACAATGATACTGAAATCAGTTCATTATCGCGGCAGATGTTCAGATGTTCAGATTTGGTATTTATCGTACTCCAAAAGAACAGAACAGTTAGGCGATACTGGGCTACTGCATTTGTAATCCTCTACAAATTCCTGTTACATTTGACTTTAATGCTAATCCAATCCAGGCACAATTTCCATATTTTCTAAACATGTATGTATCAGCATTTGCAGATATGCACATGAAAAATATCTGATATCAGCACTGGCCCTCAATCCCACCATCAGTGCGTCCACAGATGTAACCGTATTGGTGGAAATCCTGCCAATAAAGCACCAATAAAGCCTTGTATAGGAAAAGTACATTCAGGAATGTGATGCTTGACCAACAACCAAATGCAAATGCATACTACTTTAATTCCTTTCTATTTTTTTACTTTAATTTCTATTATTATTTTTTATATTATTCTTTAGATGCTCAATGGAGAGTTTCTTTTGTTTGGGTTTAAGAAGTTTAACACTTGGCAACCATACTTTACAATCAACAATCATATCAGTAAAATTTAATTACTGGGGTTTGTTTATATCAGCAGACATCAGTTATGGAAAACTAGTACTGGTATTGCAACAAAACATTCACACCAGCTTTCTGTAGTTTATTTTAACCACACTTATGTCCCACTTACCCAGATTGAGAATGTGCACCATGGCCTCCAGGCCTAGCGTGTCATACAGAGGCACTACAGCCATAGAGAACGTGTAGCAGGCCAGCTCTGCAATAACCCACTGCAACCATAAGGGGGAGACAAAGGTCAGCACAGTTAGTGTCCCTCAGACAAACTCCGATTTTGTTAGCCATTCTAACATGATGTATGTGTATTACCTGCATCTATATATAACCTCAATCTTTCTTCTAAGAAATCCTGGACACTGTGGTCTGGTATAGTGATATAAATGTGAACAGACAGGAAGTGTTTGTGTGGTGTACCTCTGGCCTGTTTTGAGCAAAGATGCCCACAAATTGTTTTGGATTAGGTTTGCATCCCTTCGCCAGCAAACCGGATCCCAACACCTGGGCCCTCTCTGCAACCTGCAGCAAGACAGGAAATTACTTGATTTAATACAAGACAGGGCTTCAGATTCATTCTGGAAAGCCATTGTGCTGCTTGTACCTTCTGTGAGGAAGGAAAACACTAAACTGTGTAAGTGCAACAGCCCTCCAGGATCAAGCCTGGTGCCTAAACAGACTTTACAGACATACAACAAGCAATCAATCAGAAACATTGTTCACCTGCCTCACGCTGTACTGAGTTCTTCACATATTCATACTAATGTGTTTTCATGATAAGCTTCTAACAGTAGTCTTTGGCTTTCATGGATTTATCTCTCTTTTTCACTCTGATATGCTTCTAACAGCAGTCACTGGCTTTAAGTCATAGATCTATTACTCATGTAACTCTGGTAGACCTTCAACAATAGTCAGATACAGTAACAGTGACTAAAAGTAACAGTAACACTCACTAGTCAATAACAGTAACTGCTTTTCATGAGTCTGATAGTAGTCTAAATACTTTGGGCGAATGACAGGCTTGTTCCTTTTCCTTTTCTATATTCATTATTGTATATTAAATTTCAATCCATTATTCTTTATTTATGTCACCATTGTTGTGTTATTGCTATCCCGTCTCGACCACAGGAGGACGGGGTCCTCTTTTAAGTCTTGGTTCCTGTCAAGCTTTGGTCCTCAGCTTGCTCATTTGGGGCTTGTACCCAGATTTCTGTGCAGCTGCTAAGTGACAATGCTAATGAAAGCAGCACTATATAAATAAACCTGAATTGAACTGTATTGAGTTTCAAAATCTTGACAGAATAAAAATCAGTATCACTAATAAAGGCATATTTTTATTACATTCTAATGACACAGTTATGATTTTTTTCTAAGACTTACTAAAATCATGAAACATTGTTGCCTGAAACATACATGAAACAAAATTTCACTAAGCCACCTGCAAACTGCTTGAAAACCTGATTAATACTCAGCCACAACAGGTGCAGTAATTTCAACCACCAATCAAAATGCCACATGCCAACATCAAACAATGACCAGCTAATCCTAACTAGCCAGCTGAAAAATATTGGCTACTAATCTTGCAAACTAGAGCAATAATCAAACGTATTACATGTGACGTTGGGTTTTTAACTGCTTCACGTTACTGTCCTTTGTTTCAACTTGCAACAAAGTGCGAAAACCTCACTCGGTAAATCCAGCCTTCGAAAATATTCAAAGTTGCATCAGAGATAATAAACAGAAGGAGGACACAGTCCACTGGTTGATATGGAAATATATAAATATCTCATAACACTCAACATGGCGGCTGTTTCACGGAAAGTCCAGCCTTTCAATAAAAGGCATCAATCGCCTTGTTGGTAAAGGCTTCAGCCGAAAATGCCCCCAGTAGCCAGAACACCTGAAAAAACACATTTCTGAATGTTACTTAAGCAAAACGCTATAAAGTTAATGTGTTTTTCTGGGAGCACCGCTAAGACTGCCAGTGAGTGGGACCAGATTCCTGCTCAGTTTGTTGATTTTCCTGCTCAAGTACAACTAATTCAATTAATTACCAGGTTTGCTTAGGACGGTGCTGAGGGTGTCCACACCCAGGACTGATTCTGGGCTCGTTTAGGGGAGGGGCTCATTATCGCTGGTTTGTTCTCACATACCAAATTTCCATCCGAACTGTGGATTGACTGCCCAATCCCATACGTCACTTTTCTCCATGAAGGTTTGTAAAATGGTAGGCACCAGCTTCATCCGTTCACTTGCTGCTTTTTATTATTTTCCTTGGAAACAAACACTCACACGGTGAAGAACAGAGCTTTCTCGTCTACAACAATCCTTTCCCTGCCATCACGGAACTTGAAATGGGGAGTAACACAAAACTCACATTACAAACTGAACCAATCACGCAGGCCCACACACGCCACCGGGAGTGGATAGCTTCCACACGTGCAGTGGACCACACCAGAGTTCAGTGGACCACACCAAGCCCAGACCACCGATTCCAGGAGGACTAGAGATCGGTTCCCTGGACCGCTCCCAGGCTCAAAAACAACTGACCAAACGTACCAGACTCACAGAGCCAGCGGTACGAGGTCCAAAAACGGCTCTGGTGTGAAAACACCCTTAAGCCAGAGAATGTAAGTCATCAAATTATGCTGGACTCCACGCCTGCTATGACTTCGGCCACATGCAGCACATTAATTTCACCAGTTAGCAAGATTAGCAGCCAGTATTTCACATGCATTGTCTTTATAGAAAAATCTGTGATGTGTTGTTTAACCTACATTTGCATATCTGTATCATTTTATGTCAAGAGAGGAGAATATTAATAACCTAGCTATGTACATCACAGTACAGCAGAGCAAATGCTGGCGCAAACAGCACCATATTACTGTTAACTAAGTAGATACTACCTAGTAAAATTACATAGTTGTTAGAAAAAACAATATTATTGCAAAAGAGCATCCTGTTTCATTTTGTTGTCTTTTATGAAACTTCTTTCACAAAGTTGAGACTAAAGTTGCAAGAAAGTTTCATGTAAATCCAGCCTAACAGGCCACAACCTCACCTCTGTATAGGAGATCCACTGGTAAGGCTCTCCTGGTTTCCTGAAGCCAAGGCACGGCCCATCCCCTGCAATCACCAGAGCGTTAGTAGCCACAGACCTTGTCAGCGGTAGCTTGATCTAAAATGAGTTTCACTTTATCGCTAGTCGTGATGGACTCTCATTCCCTTTGGGACGACTCCCCTTTATTCACAACATCCCTAAAGCGGTCATCCTTGTGTGAAATTCCCTCAACAATGTAGCTTGGTCCATTTGAGCTCAAGAGATAAAGCGCTAAAAGCACTGTTAAAGCCCAAGTGACCAACAGAGCTTAGCTGTCTGTACTGCACTTAAATGGCATCAGCATGGGTCAAACTTGCCTGCTATTCTCAAGCCTCTCTGGAACATGTCGTACGCTGTCTTTGTGTCTTCATGGTAAAAGTCCAACAGATTGTCATCCTTCAGCAAAGCAGAGCGCCTACAGCTGGAGTCTCCCTGAGAATACACACAAAATCAGGGACGCACAGTAAATGTCAGTGTCTTTCCACTTTTAAATCAGCTTATTGTGTGATGATGTACAAGAACGTTTAGCTCAACCTTACACATCAGTTTACCACAGGTTTAAAAGACACGTTTAAAATTTTACCCTAAATGTGACGCATGAGCCACATCAGATTCTCAATGGAGACTAATGTAGCTAACAGGTAAAGGAACCCTACACATCACTAGTTAGAATTATTCAAACTACATACATAAATCATCACTTATTTGCTTCAAACCACACTGATTCGTAAAGTAATCTATAATAGACTTGCTTATGTTTTTGCACACCGTATGACCTGCTGTTAAATGAAATGCCAATGTAAACAGAAAGCAGTACTTAGTAAATTCTATTTGACCTGTATTATGTTTTTTGTAAATATACGCTCAGTGCAAATTTGATGTCTGCAACACATTGCAAATAAGTTGGAACAAGAGCATGTTTACCAATGCTACATCACCTTAACAACACCTAACAACTATGTGGGCAATTCATTGTTGTGTTGTGTTTTGAGCTTGTTTTCAGGTGACTTATTAATACTACCCCATATCACGACAGACCCTGACTTCTGAACTCTACACTGGTAACAATCTGGATGATCCTTTTCTTCTTTGGCCCAGAGAAGACGGCACCCAGTATTTCCATAAACAAGCTGAAAGTTTGACTCATCAGACCACAAAACATGTTTCCACTGTAGTCCATTTCAGATGAGCTTAAGCCCAGAGAAGTTGGAGGCGTTTCTGGAAGCTTTTGACATTTGACTTCCGCTGTATAGTCTTAACTTGCATTTGTGGATGCAATGACGAACAGTGTTTATTGACAGTGGGCTGTCACAGTCCTCTTGAACTCATATGGAGATCTCCATCACAGAACAATGCTGGTCTTTAATGCAGTGATGTCTGAGGCATCGAAGGTCATGAGCATTCAGTTGTAGGTTTTCACCTTGCCCTTTACACACAGTTTTCACCAGATTCCCTGAATCTGTTGGCGATATTATGCACTGCAGAGGGTGAAACACCTAAAATCACCCTGTATTTTCTGCATCATTTGGCAATGCAATTGGTGAGCCTCAGTTTTGCTCATAAAAGTCTAGATCTTTCCTGAATGCTACTTTCATTTCCAAGCATGAGTGAATCATGCTTCTAGTCTTAAACTGCATCTGTCTGAACTTTCTTTGAACACGTTGCAGGTATCAATTTCAGAATGACCATATATTTAAACAAATGTTGATAAGGTAAAACATTATATATCTTGTCTTTGTACTGTTTTGTTAAAAATACAGGTAAAAGTAGTTGTTGGTAAAGAGAGAATGTGAAATAATCTTAATTCTATGCATCTTGTATAACTTATTTTGCAGCACCCAAGTTAAAAAGTTCTTTTTAAAGCATTTTCTTGTTCAATAAATCTGAATAAAGATACTAATGGAGTGGTTTCTTTTAGGGCATTTGGCTTCTTAAAAAAAGGACGTGCTGTAGATAAAGCAGGATGGTTTTCATTTTCTAAGGGTTTCAAAAAAATTGAAAGTTTGACAACAATTTAGTGGAACTCCTTAAATGTGGTTTCAGTATTAATTCTGGGTGCAAAAGTGATTCAAAATCAACATTATATTCAATGAAGCTTTAACATTGATTTAACATGAATTCAGTGACTGTTTGCTATCGGGGTCAGCTGTCACTGTTCAAAAGCATTACCTGGACAGGTACGGACTGTGCTTGCAGGTCGCAGGGGGGTCGTATGGAGCGAGGCCGAGTGACCAGCCAGTACACTGTGAGAGACGCCAGCGCTCCCAGCCCTATGACAGAGGGCGAGGAGAGAGAGGAGAGAGAGAAGGAGGAGGGGAGAGAGGGAAGGAGGCTTCGAATATCCTCCACTTCTGACTTCCCTAATCCACCACAGCTGGGACGAAGGGAACGCAACCACTCCTGCAACTGCATAGCTGAGAGAGAGAAAAAAAAAAACAGAGAAAAACCACACTTCCATTATTCCTCACATCTGAGAAAGTCTGATTCCACCACCACAATGGCATTTTTGTCAATCCCAGAAAAACAAAAAAAAACATTTAGCTGCTGCCAAACATCTGCTTTTCTTTCTCACTGGAACAGTGATCCAGCACAGTCACTGTCCAGTCGAGCCTAATCCTTCAGTCGTCACCCTGAAGGCATTTTTCCCCTCTGTAACTCGTTCAGTTTATTCCGAACATGGCGATCAGCTGATGAGCTGAATTACTTGTATTAGAGCAGAGAAAACTCTAATCTATACAGTGTAGGATCACTAAAGGAGTAAATGAGCTCCATTTTGATCTTTAGTAGCACTCAGAAACTTCGTCTTTGTCTCCTTTAACCCTTTAGGGGAGACACAAAAATGTGTACATTTTTCCATTATGTGATTTCTCAGTGCTGCTTCACAGAACATTAAAAAAAAACACATGTATAAGAATATAAGTAACATTTCAGACACGTTTTTTCATTACTCTGATAAAGCAAGTCAATGATTAGCGCTTACCGATCAGAAAGCTCTGATTCTACATGCGGAAGCGTTTCACTTTGGCCAGTGTGAATCACAAACCATAATGAACTTTTCTCGTGACATTTTTAAATGAAACACAGTATCAGAGCTAGCCGAGTATTTCCCCTCCATGATAGCTCGGGCTGGTGGGAGTGGGAAGTGAATATATTATTGCACTAATCATATTTGCTACTGTACATGTCTTTACTCTGCATTCTTATTTTACATATGCAGTTCTTACAGTACATACATGTGGATTCTCTCCACTCTGTTTATATGTATATATTTATACTTGCAATATCTATTTTTTTTACCACTCTTCCTTAATTGTGCACACATTGTACCCACAGCATCGCTTACCATCGCTTACTTTCCTGCACTTTATATATAAATAATACTGTACTTTGCACTTCTGGTTAGATGCTACTGTGTTTCACTGGCTCTGTACCACTGTAACTTTGCACAATGACAAAGTTGAATCTAATCTAATATAACATTAGTTAATAAATGTGATCTTCAAAGTGTCCATTTTCTGTTTGTGGCTAAGTAAGAAGTAAAAACGTTGAAATGGCTTGAGCGTTTTCTACAGCTGTCAAAGTCGTTGCTTAGCAACAGCGTCTCAGCAGACTGATACAGTGTTTGTGAAAAACCCGTGATGTTATGGTGAAATAACAGCACGGTTAGAACGCTGCTCAACCAATCAGCTTGCGTGGCCGGAACTAACTATTGTATTAATATACATATCTGCCGTGTTCTCTGTGATCTAAGGCTATCTGGGCGCCTGGGCGTCCGTCATGTTGGAGCGGCCGAGATCCACTTGTAAACTAATACAGCGTACTGAGATATGATGAGTTCTCATGATTAAATTGGCCATAACTTCCTTATCACTTAATCGATTTTCACCAAATTTGTTTTGTTATAAACCTAGACTGATCTAGGCTGGAGGGACAGCTGTCAATAGCTTATATTTTCTGTTCTTTTATTTCTATTTAATAACTGTGATTGTGAGCTGTGGCCTAGTCCCCAGCTTCTTGGTTTTCTGTTGCCTCTGCTGCACCATTTAAGGTGGAATGGAAGGTGAATAAGAAACTGACCTTATCTTTGTGTAAGTAGGTGCTAATCTATTGGGAATATCTACACGAATGAAGGAACGCTTTAACTTACCCACAGTGCTTATTCAGCATTAACAGTGAATCTAATTAAATAAATAGCTACTACAATCAAGTTAAGATCCCCTAAATAGGCTATAAAATGAAATAACCATAATACAAAACCAGGGGAAAAACAATCACATCAGCAGGTTCTCTGTGGTTTACCAACCACAGCCATATCCACACAGAAATATTACACAAAATGAGCGTGAAACGCTGCATTCTCCCCGTTACATAATCCTGTCCCACAGTCTGAGTGCAATATTCTTGAAATAGTAAACATTTTGTACAGTATCTTCCTTAACGTGCCGCTCTGCAATGGTATTAAATGCGGTCCAGCAGCGGCACCTATGAATGTATGTGTGATGAATCGTTTACTATGAACAGGGTCGTGACCTATCAAGGTAAACAAGGTCAACTATAACTTTAAAATCCTGACTTTAAAATCTGCCAGCAAAGTAGTCACATCACATGCATGGTCACTATGGTCATAGTAAAATGTGGACTTGGAGCTTTTCTATGACTATGTTTTCTATGGCTGTATAAAGAAGCTCTAAGCCGCCTTCTTTGTGCAGAAACCGATATATACACATTCACTGAGCCTTTGCACTGAAAAACAGCGTATGAGACATTTTTTGGAAAAATCATGGTATGGCATTGTTTGATGCCCTGTATTTAAAATGAAAGAGTCACTAAAACATAAATAAAGAATAGTTTGGCTTTTAATGTGAAGGAATTTGCTGTTGTGTAATGTGTTTAGTGCTGTGTTATACATTATTATATGCAGTATTGTGTGTGCATGCGCTGAAGTTGTATTTTAGGCTGCCTATTTTTGTTTGTCCCTACACAGTCATGTCAGTCACACCTGTCACTTGTCATGTATAGGCTGGGCCTAATCTTGGCATCAGTCCAGCTATAAAACTGTGTCAGTCCATTGTCTTACGAGCTGGCTAGGTGTCAGAACCTCCACGCGCAACGAATAAACTTCACTTCTCCAGACATCAGGCTGGTTCCCCTGGTTAAGTTAGGGTTTGGATTCTTCAAATGTAAAAGGTTGTATACAGAAAAACAAAATAACTGATCATCAAAAAGGCTTTAATGGTTAATAAATGGTTTTTCATCGGAGGGGCTTAACTATATAACATGCAGACAGTTGGGCTGCACACTGGATTACCATTAGAGAGAGATACCAAATTTATTTCTGTAGGGTTAGAAATACAGTAAAACGAATAAAATGCAGATATTTTAGTACAGTAACCCAGCGTTGTAAACATGTTGCTCTTCCAGAACACAATAACTTCATCAAATATCAGTTTGAAACATCAGCTACAACTAGACCACTTTTTATGCAATTACCTGCTGATATAATTCAGAGATCATTGTGCATCCCACATTTTCACAGATAACAGTATGTCATTCAGTGTCAGACACCAGTTTATGCTGGTGAGGGGACACATTGTGCAAGTCTGATGTTCTGCTGAACCATCGGTTTAAAGATCATGCTTTTCCAGGAGACACAGACTTGTGAAAATGTTTGGCCAAAAACCTCTTTGGTGAGGCAGACGGCCGCAATTCTCTGAAGCCCATTAGAGCGCTGTGAGGAAGTGATGGGGATTGGCCAAAGTGGAACAGGCGTTTGGGTTACTCTCGGCCATTTCTGAACACACCCAGGACACACAAACACTCACAGGCACACACAGAGTTCACACTGACGTGGCAGAAGACGGAGCCAGGAAAAGATAAAAAGCGAGGGGATGAGAGGACAACAATCGACAGCAGAGAGAGAGAGAGAAAAAAAAAGAGTGAGTGAGGAAGAATGGAGAGAGAGAGAGAGAGAGAGAGAGAGAGAGAGAGAGAGAGAGGGAGGAAGACGATAGAAAAAAAAAGAAGGATGGAGTGTGTTGAGTCTGGTGGGGTGATGGGGTGAGTGGGTGGCACCAGCATCACTCCATGAACCCGATGGTCGTATGCATGCATGTGTGTGTGTGTGTGTGTGTGTGTGTGTGTGTGTGTGTGTGTGTGTGTGTGTGTGTGTGTGTGTGTGTGTGTGCGCATGCCAGCAACCAGCTCTATAATGATTAACCACAACCTCAGTGTTTGTATTTGGCTCTTTGTGGGGACCAACTATCTTCATGAATACAAGAAAATAGGGAGGTGCTGACAACTTGGGGACATTTCACTGCTTTTCACAAGAAAAATGCTGTTTTTACCAAGAATGCAACAGCAGATTTTCTGATATACAAGTCAAACAATACTTTTGATTTGTTGTAATGTGTTGGATTAACTTGAATTAACCCTTTCAGTATTGAATTTATTCTTAGAGTGTTTGATTACCTTTATAGTGTTGGATTATCTCTCAGCGCTGGATTAACTCAGGTTTAGTATTCAGGTTTAGTATTCAGTAGTTCTGTAGTACTTGAAGTGAATACAATGCCCAAAAAACATGGTTTCACAATGGAAAATCCCTGTAAAGACAGTTTTACAAGATGGATGTGAGTGTGTATGTGTGGGAAGTAGGGCACACTGGTCCACACACGAGGTGACCCAAACAGTGCGTATAACTGCGATCCTCATCTGTGCCCATTTGCAGTCCCTCGGCATTCTCTCTGTCTTTGCTTTCCTCTGCCATTCGCTCCCCCCTCCCTTCACCCCTCTCTGTCACTCACTTCCTCCCTCAATTTCAACCACACAAACCCCCCTCGCTCATCCACCCCCTCTCACCTCTCACCCATTTCCTACCCCCCTCTTTTGAAGAGTAAGGAATAAAAGAGTGAGGCCTTCAGCCTCCGTTGCAAAATGCCAACTCTGCTAACTCAATTCAATGATTCAATTGGTAGTTTTGTCCAAAGCATCATCCACATGACAAGAACCAACACTTAAAGCCAGTTTCCTGGACACTAACTAAGACTTGTCTTGGACTAAATTGCATTTTAAGTCATTTTAATGTAGGTTTAGGCTTAATCTGGGTCTGGGAAACTGGCCTAAATAGATAAGTCCAGAAAAAAAATGACCAATCCTGATTACAATTTCTTTAAAGCTAAATGGCCTGATTTTTATTAGCCTATTTTGAGCCTAAGCTAAGCGGACACATGAGAACACACTAGAACATTTACCTGACTTTCTATTAGCCAAAGTCCCCAAAATAATTAATATTATTTGTAATTATTTGTAATGTAATGAAAGCTTATAGCACTAATCAGCCTGAAATTAAACTTAAAACTGAAAGTAGCAGTACTGAGGCAGGAGGAAAAAAAAACAAAAAACCCAAAAAACTTTTTTT